ATTGATAACCTTGGACGGCCTGATACACTGTATGGAAGTGCATTTGTATGCAGTGAATCCTTCCTGAAGTGCATGTTTTGACGCCCTCAACTTGCACAGCCCTTGATGCCCTGGAAGTGGTACGAATGCAGCTGGACGTACGCATGTACACGTACAGTGATGTAATCGGAGCTGGTCCAGGGTATCAGTTTTGCACATTGGGTCAGGTTTCACTGAGCGCATCTGTGTACCCGTAGTGTCTCCGCTTTCTGGTATTAAAGCCTGTCTCATATAGAGCCTGTTTTGAATAGAAGCCTGATTTTCAAGATACACTGTCGGCACATAAGCCTGGTTTTAGTGTTGACACACATAGAAATTAGGGCTGAAAGGAATATTCGAATTATTCGAATATTCGAAACATGCAAGGCGGAAAAAGAATATTCTTCGTTAAAGTAGAATAGGAATATTCGTAAATGTACAGAAACTCGCCTTTTTGACATCAATCAAGCTTATTTCAAGTTATTCGGTGCAAAATATAAGTAGGCTAATGGCTTGCCTCTTTCGATGTGTAATACCTGTACATGTAATCAGCAAGACATATGATTTTTCAAATGTCTCTCTTGTAATTGGGGTGTTTGCTCTTAATGGTCTATGGCTACCATGGATAAAACTAGGTATCCATGGAAATTGCATGGTTTAGAATATTCGGAATATTCTCCGTTTAGCATGTATTCGGAAAAAGAATATTCGTTCGCTTCATTGGGCATTTGTTTCAGCCCTAATAGAAATACTTCAATTGAATAGAAGCCTAGCGCTGACATCGGCTTCTCCAGGAACAACCCCGGCTTTAATACGCGACATAACGGCATTCCTCGTCATTTGTTGTTGCGCCTCTGCAGGTTTTGGACGAAGCCGACAGGGTGCTCGAGGAGACAATGATGGAGGATGTCAATGTGGTTCTGAAGGCCTTGCCGAAGAAGCGGCAAACTCTTCTCTTCACTGCAACCATTGAGGATCTTCTGGACGACATCGAGGACAAACCGGAGGACAAGCGGCCATTTGTGTTCATTGGAGAAAGCAGGTAGGGCTGTCAACCTTAGTGAAAATAGGCCTTCAGAAAAGTCCTGTGGAAATCTTTGTCCCAGGCATACTGTTAGTCCAGGTACCTCTTCTGGTCTTCTGTAGATGGTTTGATTTATGAAGCAGTTGCAATCTATGATTTTCGGGGACTAAGTTTCTCCTAGCAAGGAGGAGACATCTCAGCTCTCTCCCTCTCTCCCCCCCCCCCCCCCCCCCCACACACACACACACAAACATGCATGCATGCACGCTCACTCGCTCTCTCCTATGTCTTCTACCATCTCATGTGGCTCTCTGTTTGTTTGGCGTGCATGTGCAGCGAGGCTACGGTACCCACCGTCAAACAGCAGTACGTCCTTTGTCCACAACTGGTAAGTACATGTGGGAACAACAACTCATGCTGTCGCCTGGCTAGAGCTGTTTTCAAGTTGTTTGCGCGTCCAGCACTCTACTAGTAACCCATGGGCAGCAGATACTGTTTGAATGGCTTGCAGCTGTTTTTGTTTAAGGACCTTGTATGCCTGTGCGTTGTGCCTGGATGATTCCTATAGGAGGAATTGGTGTTCCACTGCACCTAATCGTTCTTTGGACCTGGCACGTCTAGTTGTCTTGCCGAAGTAGGCAGCGTTCTATCATCCATCTCGTTGTCTCTGCCAGCAGTACACGTAAAAAAAGCATGTGTTGGATCACTTGTATGTGTGTACGGGTGTATGTGTATGTGTGTACGGGTGTATGTGTGTACGGGTGTGTGTGTATGTGTGTACGGGTGTATGTGTACGGGTGTATGTGTACGGGTGTATGTGTACGGGTGTATGTGTGTACGGGTGTATGTGTACGGGTGTATGTGTACGGGTGTATGTGTACGGGTGTATGTGTACGTGTGTGTGTGTGTATGTGTGTACGGGCGTATGTGTATGTGGGTCCGTTTGTGTTCTTGTGCGTTCAGGTCCGTGATGTGTATCTCGTGCACGTGCTGCACGACCTTCACGACGAGAAGAAGAACACGATCATTGTCTTCACCGCTACGTGCAAGTATGTCTCTTGTGGCTTGTTCGTCTGTGTGCTGTATAGTGGAAACCCCCAGGGATTCACTGGCCAGAAAAAGCCACTTCATAGCTGTGTGGTGTAGACCAGGCTGAATAGTGGCGGTCAATTCTTCAGCCTTGCAAGCTGTTGAATGGTGCAATCCCAGCACAAGTTGCTATGGCTTCTGCAGCATCGCTATCATCGCCTCCGGCGATGGGCGTCAAAAAGGTCAAAGGTAGTGGAAACCCTACTGGTCTGCAGTGCTGTGAGGTCAGCAATGAAATCTGTGTCTGTAAAAAACAGAGATGTGTGTCCATCTGTATCGGCGCAGCGAAAACCCTTACTGGTCTACAGTGCTATGGAATCGGCAATGAAATCTGTAGTAATAGGGTTTTCACTTGACCCGACGAGACCA